CCGCTCCTCTGTGCGCCGCTCAAACCCGTCCCCACCGCTCCGGTGTGCGCCGCTCAAACCCGCCCCGCCCTGCCCCGGGTGCGCCGCTCAAACCCGTCCCCCTTGCCCCCTGTGTGCGCCGCTCAATCCCGTCCCCCTTGCCCCTGTGTGCGCCGCTCAATCCCGCCCCCCCTGCCCCTTTGTGCGCCGCTCAATCCCGTCCCCCCTGCCCCGGGTGCTTTCCATCCTCCTGAAGCGCCGTTTGGTCTGAGTTGGGACCAAATCTTATTATTCTAATTTTCAATCACACCGCTCTTTACAATCTGCTGTTTCTCACTTTATTTGAAAAGGGGAACACTTTAGTCGATTAAGATTATAATGAAAGTAAAATGCCGCTGTAGATCTGATTTTTTTAAAAAGAATAGGAAATGCTGCGTAATACTGACAGACATGAGGCTGAGTATTTACAGCTTTTTTCTGGTGTATAATTTTAAAATTATTGTTCTATTTTTACTGTTGCTGTCCAGGAAGACATTGAAACTGAACTCTGACATGGTCATAAGCAGGACATGTCTGATTGATTATCTTATTTATTGTCACGTGCACCGAAGTACAGTGAAAAAATTTTGTTTACCAGCGGTACAGGCAGATCATAGTAAGCAAGGATGTACAGATCAAAAAGACTTAGACAGAGGCATACAGGTTACGTTGTACAGGGCGTGCACTGGGCGAGATTATCGTTAGCAAAATCAACATTATTTGAGACTAAAGTCCATTCATCAGTCTGATAACACTTAGAAAGAAGCTGATCTTGAACCTACTCGTGCATGTGCTCAGGCTTCTGTCTCTTCTGCCTGACGGAAGAGGTTGTAGGAGATCTTTACCAGGGTGCGATGCGTCTTTGATGATGTTGGCCGCTTTTCCGCAGCATCAAGCTGTGTAAATAAGAGTCTATGCTGTGCACACAACTTTCTGTAGTTTCTTACGGTCCTGGGCAGAGCAGTTGCCATAGCAGGCCATTATGGACCCGGAAAGTACGCTTTCAATGGTGCATCTGTAGAAATTGGTGAGAGATGTTATGGATATGCCAAATTTCCTGAGCCGCCTGAGGAAGAAGAGGCATTGTTGTGCCTTTTTGACTGTCGCATCAGCGTGAGAAGTCCAGGATGCGCCATCGGTTATTGTCACTCTGACTAATTTGACGCTCTCGACCTCCGCTCTGTTGATGTACATGGGGCATGTTTTCCTTTCTTTCTGAAGTCAGTGATCAGTTCTTTAGTTTTGCCGACGTTGAGAGAGATGTTGTTATTGCACCACGTCACCAAGCCTTCTATCTCCTTGCCGTCATCTGTTCCACTACGGTGGTGTTGTCAGCAAACTTGTAGATGGTGTTCATTCGGAATTTGGCAACAGCTGTGGGTGTATGGGGATGTCAGTAGGGGGCTGATGACGCGTCCTTTGGGGGGCTGCAATGTTGAGTGTTATTGTGGAGGAGGTGCAGTTACATAACCTCACTGATTGCTGCCTATGGGTCAGAAAGCTGAGGATCCAGTTGCAGAGGGTGGAGTTGAGACCAAGGTCACAATTTTGAGATCAGACTGGAGAAGATAATGGTGTGGAAGGCAGAGCTGTAGTCAATGAGCAGGAGTCTGATATAGGTGTCTTAATTATCCAGATGTTCCAGGGATGAGTGCAGGGTTAGGGATATGGTATCCACTGTGGACCTGTTACATCAGTGAGCAAATTGTAGGGGATGGAGGCAGGCTGGGAGACTGGAATTGATGTGGGCCATGACCAACCTCATGAAGCACTTCATGATTATTGAGGTCAGCGCCACTGGGTAGTAGTCATTAAGGCACATTGCAAGTGCTTTCTTAGGTACGGGGATGATGGTGGCCTTCTTGAAGCAGGTAGGGCCTTTGGCTTGTAGTAGGAAGAGGTTGAAGATGTCAGTGAATACCTCCGCCAGTTGGTCCACACAGGATCTGAGTGCTCGGCTGGGGACACTGTCTGGGCCAGTCGCTTTCCTCAGGTTGACTCCCAGGAAAACCGATCCGAAATCTAAAGTGGTGACAATGAGAACAGGTGTGTCCAGGGCTGTCGGGGAAGGTGTCACTGGGCCACTTGCATTCTGCTCAAACTGAGCACCTCAGGAAGGCATGTGTCTTTGACTGCTATCTTGCTGTGTTTCATTTTGTATTCTGTAATGTTGTTTAGGCCTTGCCATTGGCGGCGGGAGTCTGTTTTATAGGTTTGGGCCTCTAACTGCCTCTTGGCATCCCTGATGGCTTTGTGGATGTCATATCTGGATTTGTTGTTATGTTGTTATGAAGGTCAGTGTAGGATTTGAGAGATGTGAATATTGATGATGTCCAGAGGAGTTCGAGACTCTCTCCCTAACCATAAGAGGAAATTGTACCAGTTTCAGTGTCTTTCATTTTTACATACCATTAATTCATCTGCTATAAGGAGATAAAGACATTGAAATACAAAATTGGCCCATCGAGCCCACTGCACCATTCAATGAGATCATGGCTGAACTGATGGTCCTTAACTCAGCCTTCTTTCCTTATCCTTATAAACCTTGTTTCCCGTAATGATTTTAAAAATTGCCTATCTCAGCCTTGCATGTACTTAACCACCCAACTTGACAGCCCTCTGCAATAAAGAATTCCACAGAATGACTAAGCTCTCTCAGAAAGAGAGAAGAAAAATTCCTCATCTCTGTCTTATATGGGTGATCCCTTACTCTGAGATTATGTCCTCTGGTTCTAGGCTCTTCCACAAGGATAAACAATTTTTACGCATAAACGCTGTCAGGCTCATTAAGAATCCTTTATGTTTATTCTAAACAGGAACTATTCAACCTCAAATCACAAGACTGTCCCTCTATTCCCAGAATCAACCTTATGAATCTTCTGTGGACTGCCTCTAATCCCAGTCTATCTTTCCTTATAAAACAGGCTCAAGATTATTCATGGTATACCAGGTGTTGTCTGGTAAACAAGGCTAGTGCCTAGTTTAGTATCAGTGAGAGCTCCCTGTTTTTATGTACCATTCCCTTTGAAATAAAAGCCAACAATCCATTTGCCATCCCTATTACCCACTGAACTTGGATGCTAGCTCTTTTTGCTTCACAAGGACTCCCAAATCCCTCTGTGCTGCAGCTTTCTGCAGTCTTCCTCCACTTAAATAATAGTCAGCTCTTCTATAATTCCTACAAAAATGCATAATCTCACATTCTGTTTCATCTGTCAAGATTTTGCCACTTTACTTATCTATATTATTTTGTAGACTTTAGGTTGACCTCACTACTTGTCATCCAACCTATTTTTATGTTTACCGCAAACTTGATGATAATACATTCACTTCTGTCGTCCAACTCATTTATATATTGTAAATAATTGTGGCTCCAGCAGTGATGCCTGTAGCACTCCACCAATTATAGGTTGCCATTCCTGAAAATACCCACTTTATCCCAACTCCTTGTCCTCTATTAGTTAGCCAATCCTGTCGCCGTAATATATTACTCATGACACCATGAGTTGTTATCTTATTAAGTAGTTTTATGTACAGTACCTTAATGTTATTTTAAAATCTAAATATATTACATCTACTGGATCTCCTTTATCTATCTTGCTTCTATCTTGCCTTCAAAGGATTGCAATTAATTTATCAGGCATGACTGCCCCTTCATGAAACTATGCTCACTCTTCTGGATTTTATTATATATATAGAAATGCTCTGTCACTATATCATTTATATTGGACTCAACTTTTCTAAATTACAGATATTAAGCTAACTGACTCATGGTTACCTGTTTTTTTGACTCCGTCCATTTTTGAATAAGGGTATTGTAGTGGCAGTTTTCCAACTTCTGGGCTTTCCCCCAAATCTAAGGATTCATGGTTGATTACTGCCAGTGCACCCACTATCTCTGTAGCTACTTACTTTAATGTCCAAAGAAATATCCCACTACGTCAAAAGGACTTATTGGCCTTCAGCCCCATCAGTTTCCCCAGTACTTTTGTTTCTAGTAATAGCTATTGTGTCTATTTCCTAACAACTCACCCTGCCTCCCGGGTCTCTTGATTATTTATTATTTTTGGAATGCAATTGACATCACTTTAACATGAAGATGATGTAATATATTATTCAACTCAAACAACATTTCCTAATTCACCTTATTGTTTCCCCAATTTTGTTCACTAAGGGGCCTCCCTTTTCATTTTAACTATGTAAAGAAGACCTTACTTGTTATTATATTACTTTCAATAAGGCCTCCTCACATTCTTCACACACCAATGAGAAGCCTTTTTTATATATCTTGCAGTTTGCTTTCATACTTTATTTTCCTCTTTAATATTGATTTTGGTAATCTTTTATTGACTTCTAAAACTTTCCAAATCCTCTGGTTTCCTATTAATGTTTGCCACGTCGAATGTTTTATTTCAATTTGATACTATCCTTAATTTCCTCAATTAACCATGGTAAATTTAGCCCTTACCTAGAGTCTCTCTTACTCAATGAGATATACCTTTGCTCTGAGTCATGACCTGTATTTGTAAATGTTTGCCATTATTTCTGATCCACATTTCTCACTCTCAATCCGAATGCCAAATTCTACCATATTATGGCACTGTTCCTTAGGGAGATCTCCTACTCTGAGATCATTTATTAAATATGTCTCATTACACATTATCAAGTCCAAAAATAGCCCGATCCCCGGTTGGATCCATAACATATTGTTTTAAGAAACTCGAATACACTCTGAAATCTTCTCATGGCTGCTTCTGCCAGTTTGACTTCCCAATCCACATGAATATTATTAATTTTGCCATTTTACCATATTTCCACCTTTGACCATATTCACTGCTGTTTTCTTATTCTTGAACACCCTGTCCCTTCCTGTCCCATAATAACAGCAAAATACTGCAGATGCAAGGAAGCTGAAACAAGCCCAGAGAATGCTGGAGAAATTCAGCAGGTCTGGCAGCATCTATACAGAGAGTTTTCTCCAGCATTTTCTGTGTTTGATCCCTTCCTGTCCCACACTGGCTACTATTATCAAAAAAGTTGCCTGGCAATGCCACTGTATCCATTTGTTTTGTAAGCCAACGTATCTCTCCCCACAATCCTTGTCTGCTGTGGTAGCTAAGGTTTGACTTTAGATACAATTTAGAAATTTGTTTCAAATTTGAAACTGCATTAGTTTGTATTTCAAAATTCTACTGCAATTCATTAACATGATCACAGATTTTGAGTTAAACTTTAAACTTTAATATGCTGCAGTTTTGTCGAGTGTGTTTCTTACAGCTCTCATTGCAGCCAGTGGACTGATATATTGTTACTTCTGCTTTATGTGTGTCAGCATTACATCCATATTTTGCCAGCATTTCTATGGATGGCGCTAGATAAACCAGGCAAAATCTGCTGAAGTATAAATTAAAATTTATAAATGGAAATAAGGGGGAGACGGGTGTGAGTATTAAGATTTCAAATGATAGGGCTCCGTGACTATTTTCTCTAGCAGCATGTTCTTTTGTAAGACTGTCCTTGGGAATAAAGACTGTTGGTACATAGTTTGAAAAAAATGGTCTTCGTACTTTGTATGGCTGGTATTTCATATTTTGTCATTGCTAAAAGGCACCAGGAACTTGTTTCTGTCAATTCTAACCAGCCCATTTCATATTTTACGGAACATGATGAGTCTATTTTCTTCTTTCTTGTAGTGCTTCCCATTCCAAATCTTTTTATCAAAGATGTAACACTGGTGTGCTTCCTATATTGATTTTGTGCAGAATTATAGAAGCCCCACAATGTGAAAGCAGGCCATTCGACCCATCAAGTCCACAACGACCCTCTGAAGACCTTTCCTACCAAGAAGTGAAATTGTGATCACTGAGCCAAGGAAGACATTTTAGATATTTGTCTCTGTATGTGTGGTGGATAGTTATTAATACATAACAGATACATATTTAGACACATACATTGAGAATACAATACAGGAACAGACCATTTAGCCCAGCTAGTCTGTGCTTGTTTTATGCTTCACACAAATCTCAGCCTATTCCATCTACTCCTTCTCAACTTTTCAGCATTCCTTTGTAATTTTTTTCCCCTCATGCACTCAGCTTGCTACTTTTTGGAATGATCTATACTATGTGCCTCCATTATACCTGATTCCAGTAAGTTCCACATGTTAATTACTGAAAAAAAGTCTTTTTTTACTGGATTTCTTACTGGATTTAACAGAAACTATCATGTATTTTTGGATTTTCAAATAAGAGAAAAACATTTTCTTTATAGCTACTCTATCAAACACCTAAAGATAAAGACTTCCATTAGATCACCACTAAATCTTTTTTTGTATAAAATGTCCAAACCTGTTCAATCTTTCTAGTACAAAAACAGAAGTTGCTAGAGAAGTTCAGCAGGTCTGGCAGCATCTGTGAAGAGAAATCAGACTCAATGTTTTGAGTCCGATGACTCTCCCTCAGAAAAGAGCTTTTCCAGCAATCTCTGTTTTTATTTTTGATTTACAGCATCTGCAGTTCTTCTGCTTTTTTATTCACTCTTTCTAGTAGCTGAGTTCAAAATTTGGGGAGGTCTTATCCCAAGACCCAGGTAATGCTCTGGGGACCTGGATTTGAATCCTGTCTATGACAGATGGTGGAATTTGAATCCAATAAAAATCTGGTAGTAAAGGTTGAATTATAATCATGAAACTGTTGCCAATTTTCAGGAAAAAAACGTCTGGTCCACCAATGTCCTTTAAGGAAGGAAACTGCTGTCCTTACATGGTGTGGCTGACATGTGACAGAATGCCTGACCCACAACAAATGGTTAACTCTAAACTCCCCTTTGAGCTATTAGGAATGGGCAATAAATAGTGGCCTAGCCAGTGAGACCCACATCTTGTGAATTAATAGAAGACAAGATTCCTTTTTGAGTTACCTCCCTGTGTATTACACATTGACAAATATTCAGTCAGAAAAAGAATAAATTAGATGCCACACTTTATTTACAAAAACAAGAATGTTAGGACAGTTGTTTGTAATAGAAGAGGATTGGCGCTATATTAACATCTGTAAATAAAGGGGATAGTTGTCATAGATCCAATGTGCAAATCAGAGTAAAATAGATTATTTCTAAGCATTGGACTTAGTAGTGCTATGTAGCTTGTTTGCCACTTGAGATAAGCCTCATAAGAATCCAAGCTTGAGACAATGCAGTCAGGTCATGCTGCAATGGAGACTTCTGCTTCAACCATTTACTTCCAACGGCCACCAACTTTGCCCTTGCCAGCACCCTTCTTGCTGCTGCAAATCACAAGCAAAAAAAGAAAACATTGTCAACCTCCAGTACTTAAAATCCAACAGATGCCCTCTCTTGTATAACAAACAAAACTGGCTCCAGATGCAAGTGCAAAAACAAAAGGATCTCCAGTGGCCTTTACAAATTTTGGCTGGAATTATCAGCTACGTAGAGGGTGAAAAGAAACAGGTCAGAAGTCTTATATAACAAGGTGTAGAGCTGGATGAACACAGCAGGCCAAGCAGCATCAGAGGAGCAGGAAAGCTGACGTTTCGGGTCTGGACCCTTCTTCAGAAATGGGGGAGGGGAAGGGGATTCTGAAATAAATAGGGAGAGATGGTAGGTGGATAGAAGATGGATAAAGGAGAAGATAGGTGGAGAGGAGACACTCAAAGAGGCGGGGTTGGAGCCAGTAAAGGTGAGTTTCGGTGGGGAGTTAGGGAGGGGATAGGTCAGTCAGGGGAGGATGGACAGGTTGATGAGGTTGGTCAGTAGGAGATGGGGGTGGGGCTTTAGGTGGGAGGAGTGGAGAGGTAGGAGAAAGGACCGGTTAGGGAGACAAGGATGAGCTGCTTGGCCTGCTGTGTTCATCCAGCTCTACACCTTGTTATATCAGATTCTCCAGCATCAGCAGTTCCTACAATCTAGGTCAGAAGTCAAAATTCTTATGCAGTGAACTAATGAGCAGCATACTTTCTGGAGACAATCTGTGGTGGTGGTTGTTTAGTCTATCTGTCTCTCTTTCATGGCTTGTCCTCACTCAGATGACCTGGAGCAGGAGCACCCAGAACCTTTCTGTGACTGGATGCTGTAATGTTTGATGGATAGAGAAAAATCATATTTTTATTTAAATTGTAAGTTTGCTTCAGTTTCAGTTCCGTAATTTCTTAATTGGGTCTCTAAAAAGAGAGGCACTTTTTGTTGATCTTTTTTAGTTCAGTGACTTTGCAGAATACAAATCTTTGTAGAATATACTTTCTCACCTCACAATGCGGTCCTTTTAGCACCAACAACCCGCTCTCATTTCTTTCTTAGCCTCTGCCATGATTACCTCTAAAGTGGCACTGGTCAAACATGAAAACTCTTCTTCTTCATCTTATTATTGTTTTCATTACCTTAGAAGAGGGTTGATCAAAACTATACTCATTGAAGAATGAAAGCAGTTGCCATACAGATCCAGGATATCAATTAGTGACCAGAATTTTTTTTCTCTCAGAGACCTTTGCAGTTACAATTAGTCTTTAGTCAATCTAGGGTCAGTTAGCTCAGTTGGCTGGAAGGTGCTGTCTGAGGAGCTTTGGTAAATTTCTGCAGTGCATGTTCTAGATCAGACACGCAGCTACTACTGAGCGTCAGTGGTGGAGAAAGTGGATGTTTGTGGATGTGACGCCAATCAAGTAGACTGCAGTGTCTTGGATGGTGTCGAGCTTCTTTACTGATTTTGGAGCTGAACCCATCCAGGCAAATGGGTAGTATTCCATCACACCTCCTGTCTTGTGCCTTGCAGATAATGGACAGGCTTTGGGGAGTCAGGAGTTGAGTTACTCACCACAGTATTCCTAGCCTTTCATCTGCTCCTGTAGCCACTGTATTTATGTGGTGGGTTCAGTTGAGTTTCTGGTCAATAGTAACCTCAAGGATGTTGATAGTGGGGGAATTCAATGATGGTAACACCATTGAATGTCAAGGGGTGGTGGTTAGATTGTTTCTTATTGGTGATGCCATTGCCTGGCATTTGTGTGATATGACTGTTACTTGCCACATGTCAGCCCAAGCCTGGATATTGTCCAGATCTTGTTGCATTTGAGCATGGACTGTTTCAGGATCTGAGGAGTCGTGAATGGTGCTGAACATTGTGCAATCACGAGTGAGCATTTCCACTTCTGACCATATGATGGACGGAAGGTCATTGATGAAGCAGCTGAAGATGTTTGGGCCTGAGACACTACCCTGATGAACTCCTGCAGAGATGTCCTGGAGCTGAGATGACTGACCTCCAAAAATCACAACTATCTTCCTATTTGCCAGGTAGGACTCCAACCAGTGGAGAGTTTGCCCCTGATACCCATTTATTCCAGTTTTGCCTGGACTCCTTGACGCCACACTGTTGAATGCGGCCTTGATTGATATCAAGGGCTGTCTCTGTCACCTCACCTGATATGGAAGATTAAGCAATGATGTCACTATTTACGACAATAGAGTTGAGAGGGTTGAAAGGATGAACTTTCCTTTTCTGGGAGGGTTGTAATCAATGGGCTTTCCATTAAAATTATAGCCAGGTCATTCAGAGACCTTCCCTTCCCAAACTAGAACCTGTTAAAGTTTGGTGAATTGAGAAATTCAGAACTACACAATTTTTTTGTTTTGGATGGGATATCAAGGGATTACAGGACCCTGTTGCAAATAAATTGTGATCAAATAAATGGTGGAATAGGCTCAGTCACATGAGTGGCCTAGTCTTGTTCCAATGTCATTCCAGAAATCCATTGTATACATCTTGAAATAAGTAAGTTGGTTGAGTTGCAACGTGCTGGACTACCTCTGATCCTGACACAATTTTGGAAGCATTTGAAAAACAAATCATATATAAGAAAGTGTATTCAACAGATTGAAGAATGATTAGAATTGAGCACAGTGAAATTAATGCCTTGCATTCTTTCATTTCACTTACCTGAATAACTCTAGGCTTCATTATTCTTTCTATGTCTTTGCAAACTGTATTTTCAAATGTTTGCTTGCTATTTTTTATGCTTGAAACATTAAAGTTGGCAGCATAGATATGAACTCTGAGAAAACAGACATGCTTTACATTCTGCAGCCTCGGAAATCTTTAATGCAGATTCATAAATTACTTACTTCGAGTACCAGGAGAGGCTGGCTTAAAGACCTTCTGAGTGTTACATAAAGCATAATGGAATGCAATGCAGAAATAAGTGCTTTTATGGAGGACCTTACTCTAAGACTTGGTCCTGAATCATCACAGGAACGTTCCCAATTAGAGTAAATCTTCTACTTACTTGAGATTTTAATGATCCCAATAGGAACTTGCACAGAACAATATAAAGATCCTTGTGGAAAATGCTTCATACATACATCAAAATAAACAGGTTCAAAGCCCATTTTCTTACATTAATTAATAGTACTCTTTAGTATGCAAGGTCTAATCCAGTTGATTTTCCTACTGTTGTTCCCTGGTGGAAACCAAGGAGTGTTTACATAGACACTGGAATTTACTAATCTTCAAACAATAATACCAAGAAGTCTGTCAAACAGGTCATGTTTGTAAAGTCTCCTCAACAGCCTGGTTATGGGTAGTCTGTCCCATTATTGTCAAATTATCCATGGTACAACATAGAACTAGCATCATTCACACTGCATGAACACAGGTAAGTTAACGTCTGGTTAAACAGGCAGGAAAAGTAATTGCTCAAATGAAAAATGGCACAAAGCATTGTGGATAATCTAAAATTGACAAGGGTTCAAAGCATGATAAAGCACAATATTATTAATAACATGGTCCCCGTACACAATTTGAATCTAGTTTGATCTAGATTATAATCTATTAGTTCAACAGAATAGGCTAAGATTTAATTTATTTAATAATTGTTGACTGGAAGGAGCTCCAGGACAACTATTTCATCTTGGGACCATTAAAGAGCCATTTCACAATTTGTAATGTTCAACTGGTTTACAGCTGCCATTTCAGAAGGCCATGCTTCCTTTCAGTCACTCCAGGTGAACACATTATTTAGTCTTGCACTATCAAAAAAAACTTAGTTAATTTAAGTCCCCATTCTTAATGATAGTACTTGCACGGGAGATGTTAAAGGCTCCTGTACACTATATTATTTGGAAATATGACATCCATACTAAAGGATTAATGATTGTGATGCAATTAGTACAAAATTACTGAGCAATACTCACAAATCAAAAGGCTCGATGTGCAACAATTATTTGGGACTATTTGAGTACAATATTACTCTGAAACCGAACTTCCCTCTTTTGTTTCATTCTTTGATGATAACAAAAATACATGATAAAAAATCTTTGAAGTGCTATAGGATTTCTCCTGCCCCATTTTCAAAAGCAGATTTCTTCAAAAGTGGAGTCCAAATATAGTAAACTGGAAAAAGGGTGTTGTTTGAACATAAATTTGAGAAACTTCCACTCTGTAAAAGCAGGGAAAAACCTGAAGGATGGGTTTTATTCACAATGCTCTGTACCATGGCTTGGCAATGTGATATTAGATCATGCATTCTCTTCATAAATAACAGAAGATTTAAAGGAAGAAATGAGGGTACTAGGTAAAATGGAAAAGGGATTAAACAGAAAGGAACGTATCAGCACATCATAAGTTTATCAATATGGAACTTGAACTGAATAGGACATCATTTGGTTAAAAAGGGTTGGAGGTGTCCACAAACTGGATTTTAGGTTAACCAGTTTTTGTTTAGAAAATATCAAAATTGAAAAGTGAAATGATTTATAATTTTCACATCTCGAATGTAGAAACAGATGTAGAGACACATTTCAGACAACACTGTAGCCCTGCAATACTTTAACCATGAGCTAAGTAAGTCTAGGTGCTGAGTGTTGGCAAGTTATTCAACTGTGAAGGCCAGTACAGCTAAGCTCAATTCCGTCAACTGATGTCATTAACTTTCTATTATTGTCATTATGTTACAAGCAGGAGCAAGAACTCAAAGTGTCCTTTTGTTGTCCCTAGCCCAAGGATGCCAAGCCAATTGTAATATATTGCAACTTCAACTTTACGTGCAAATTTAACATCTGGAACCTTTCTTGGCTGCATTGCTTAGCACCTCATTAAGGAAAAAAAGAGTTTAAGCAATTTGATTATGATCTAAATGTCTGAAGTAGAGAAGCATACATACTTAATTTAAATGCAGAATTCCAATGTGCTAATACTATTCACTAATATGTCCCGAATCGACTGAAGTGTGTGGAGACTTATATTACTATAAATACTTTGAATTTCGTAAAGGAACAATTTAATTCGAACAAACACTGTGAGTGTAATGAATCACCATATTTCTAGATATCATTGCATGAGTTATTTGCTTTTGCAGACCTTCACCACGCCTGTTTGAAGTGAATTTCCATTAGATTTGTCCATAGTTGATAAATTAGATGGCCATGTTTGTATATTCCTTTCGAGGAGTAGTTGGGAGAGTGGGTAACAATGTACTTACTGTTTTTGAAGTTCGTCAATGCGATTTCTGGCTGTAGTAATCTGTAAATAACATATGTTCATTAGTGCACTAAACTGAAGACTGACTCAGTTACCTGTGGTTGGATGTTTTGTCCACTTATCTGTCGAATGTTGTGTTCTCCCAGAAGAGCTCAAGGAAAGACAGCTGATGAACCTGCTGGATGAAATTTTGCAAATTGCACATTGTGCACGTCTAGACTAATACTTACAGTGTTGTTCCTGCTTCAATCCTGCAGGATGGCACCCTATGAAAATGTAAGGACTCTGGACTGATGACAGCCTGCAGACTTGGCTCAAGAACTGAACTGGACTGTTGTAGCTAGCCTGAAAGCTTTTTGAGGAGGCAGCAGGTTTAACTAGAGACCAATTAAATGTTCAGAAGATGTTGGACCTACAGGGCATAGTGAAGATAAAATCTGTGGAACTGATTTATGACTAATCAAATGATAAACTACCCACACCCTCACATCTTTGGAGAAAATGTATTTTTGTTTAAACAAAGCTTTTCAAAAAAAAATCATTGATTGTGACCTATTGACCAAATAGTGAGTGGATGCATTTTAAGTAGATTTTGTGAAATGCATTTTCTGTGGCAATAATGGCAAAACAAAATATATGTCCACTCACATACCCTGACAGTAATGACCCCTTAATATTTCAGAATCAAATAAATCAGTCTTTAACTGGTGTAAATGATTAAAAGCACACAAATCCATTTTTTGAGTGCATAACATTGATGAATAATGGCCCAAATTGAAACAAAAATCAGATTTATTCCTTCCATGTAGACTTGACTTTAGAAATAAGTTGGAAAATGCTGCAAGAAATCCTTGTTGTTACAAGATAAATACAAGGCGACTAATTCCATGGCTGGTGGTACCTAATGACCTCAATCCAAAAGGTTCCTAGCACTGGATCTTACATTTTGAACTCAGTAATGTTCTAATACTGCTAAAGTAGAAAGCAAAGGAATCTTTTGTTTTCTACACTGGGAACTACACTTCATTTAGATGAAGTTAAAAATAAACAACTGTATTTTTTTTCAGTGCTGTTACCTGCTACCGCCTCACTGCATGTTTGATGGTTCCTTGGCTTACCATGCAGCCAACCCATGCATGTTCCAGGCAGGACCCCTATAGCTGCAGAACTTAAAGGGGCTCTGTTTAGTACTTACAACTTAGCCAGTAGCTCCATTCTCTTACGCAGTGTTGTAATCTAAAAGGAATTACAGTGATATGTATTTCAATGGAATATTAAAAACACAGATGCTGTCAGGAAGTAGCCTGCACAATTTTCATTAAAGTACTTCTGAAAAAGAATTAGGTATAAAATAATGTGGACAATTCTGTAAAATATTGTTCCCCTACAGAAATATTTACAGTTTTGTGTTTGTTAAGTATATATGATGAAACAAGTTGTCGCAATAATGTTTTCATTTTCACTACATGAGCAGGGAAAGGATTAACTCTTGAAATATGATGCTAAATTGATAGGGCTAATTATAGGGAAGAAAAATACTTCTTTAAATTTATGACTGGCAGTTTATCTTTCCTCTTTGGCCACAATTACTATAAAAAAATCTCTAGTTCTATCTAATGGACAAGTACCTCCACCTTTTTACTTCTTTCTTCAAAAGAGAACACAGCACCTCAACCATAATATGCAGATTACTGGCATGTTATCAAGCAATTGTCCAATTAGAAAGGTTGCTTGTTTTAATTTGTACCAAGGCAGTGGGAGATGGATAATTCTGAAGATTGAGACTGCAGTTGGGATTCTTCAATTGGCTTGTTATCCTCCAGTAAAATATAGGCTGTGTATTGTCCATGAGTGCTATACAGTCAGAGCTTCACCATTGAACATTGCACTTAACAAGAGAGCAAGCCTTACTGTTGATGAGAGATAACTTCTTCCTTATTCTCCTTAAACGGAAAACAGAACTGTGAAACAACTTTATAAAAGTATTTCATTTTAAAACACGCGTGGCTTTCATAAAGATACTACAAAAACATAGGAAACAGGAAAGATGTAGTTCAAGATGATCTGGTAATCTACTGAAATGGGATACATTCCACAATGTCAGAGATGGTAAGGTTGTCAAGGCAGTAGCTCAAGGAAAAGTGGTTGTGATATGGAAATGGATAACTAATTTGGAATTTGCTTGATTTCTTTTGCAGATGAAGGAGTGCGTGTACAGAACATGAGACTAAATGGTTGTATTTATTCACTGGATGTGGCTGTCACAGATTCCATGAGAAGCTGCACTATGGAAACAATAGTCTTGAGGGGCTGAATAGTCTTTTCTCTATTAATTTTATTGATGTACCATATTGTTTTCCTGATCCTTTGAAGAATAACAATGAAGAACTCTCTCCTTCTAGTTACATCAAAATGTATGTTGAAAACTGGAAATATTGGAACATGCCATTGAAGGAGATAGAATGACATCCAAAGTTTGGAAAGTTGCAGAATTTGGAGTAGAAATTTCCCTTTTTCCTGGAATATGGGGATGCATGTATTAGGTAGTGACTAATAAGTCATACTTACCTCTGAGAAAACTTGCTAAACGGCCGCCTCTCAGCTCACTAAGAACCAACGCACAGAACGTAGCTGAGTTTCTCAGTGAATTACAGTCCTTGACACTGGCATCCTGGTCACCACAAGCTGCCACCAGCAGCTTCAAGGACAAAGCTCCACTGGATGAGGCCTACTCATTGGATGGGAGTCATAGGAAAAGTTGAATCAGAAGCATAGGGATGGAGTGACTTTCAGAGGCTAGATAGTTTGGGTTGGCCATATTCTAAAACATGAGGATGTTCTGAAGGAGTTGAGTGAAGGAGGTTTAAGACAGATTGGACCAAGAAGATTAAAAAAAGGTGATGATACCCAAAAACTTGACAATGGGAGACTCTTAGGATCAAATGAAAATGAGAAACTATGAGACATGTAAAAAAATGATCAGAGAACCTGCACTGAGGCAAAGCAGTGAGAGTGACCATCTTCAACTAACTTTTAAAATACAGTAATTAATTGATTGTAGTGCATTGCATCAAAGCATTGCTATGGCCCATTAAGAATGTTTTACAGTTTATGTTTCTCATTTACTGCTTTTTTGTGTAACTTTAGTAACTACTAGATCTAAAATGGAGAAGATGATAGCAAAAAATTGAGTAATACCAGTGACTAGGCAAAATACCATTGTTGGTAACACTGTAAATATCCCTGCAAAAGTTTTTATAGCCGTTATGAAAATCAATATCCCCTATCAATTTTGTCAGTAACATCTTCAAATAATTCCAACAGGTTTGTCAAACATGATTTTCTATTCATAAGTCACTGTTGATTACATCCAGATTATTTTCCACATCTTCTTACAATTAATATATTGATAAAACATCTTCAGGTTGTAGTTAGTTTTACTTGCCAATATTTTTAATGCCCCTCTCTTTGCTTTGCTAATTTCCTTTTTGATTTCACTCCAGCACTTTCTGTATCCTTCTTGGTTTTCTGCAATATTGAGGTCTCTGTGTCTAACTTAAATTTTCCTTTCCTGTCTTTTTTCACCCTGTGTACTTTGTGACATATAGGAGCTTTAGATTTGGCTATGCTGCCCTTTTGCTCTATGGAGACATATTTACTCTGAACACACTGAATCTCCCTTTGAATATCGCCAACTACTCTAATACTGACATAACTTCAAGTAGCTGTTTCTAGACTATTTTTGTTGAATCATTCCTCAGCTTCCTTAAATAAGTCCTATTCCAACTGAAATTTCTAACTGCTGTACCATCTATGTCCTTCTCCATAATTATGCTAAAACTAACTGAATTACAATCACTACCACCAAAATGCCAGTTCTTCCACCTGCCAAGTTTTATTTCCTAAAGCAATGTCCAGAACTGCATTCTGTTTTGACGGGTTACATGCTAGCCAAAAGCATTATACTGAATGCAGTTCAAGAATTCTGCTTCCTTAATTTCTTTACACTAAAACTATTCCAGTTAATATTGGGATAGTTAAAATTTCTGTCTATTACTTCCCCGATGACTTTGCATTTATTGCTTATATAGTTGGTCATCTATCCCTCTGACTGTTTGGGAGTCTATTGTACATGCCCGGGAGTGTGACAACTTTTTAGTTTGTTAGCTCAATCCACATTGCCTCATTTGACGGTCTCAAACATATCATACTTCTTGACATCTATATCAGTTTCTTTGACCAAGATTGCACACACCCCTTATAGATTAGACTATCCATTTCACCTGAAATCCCCGTAGTCAGGAATGTTGAACTGCCATTCCAGTCCCACCTAAGGCTATGCTTCTGCAATAGAAATTAGGTTTTACTGCCGCTGTTTCTATTTGTGCCATCAGCTCATATACTTTATTTGTTAATCTTTTAGCAGAGCTCAGAGACATTGAGCACTATATCTCCTGATGATTATAAGTGAACATGAACAGCACTAGTACAAATTAAGAAAGCTCTATTTTAAACAAAAAAGTTAAACTACAAATCAGTGGGTTGGAGTACATTTAATCCAAATAACGTATGAATTTTCTCATTTCAGTTGCATCGGAAATTGGATGATATAATATTTCTAGTATTTAACTGATCTAACAGTCTGAGAACAGAATTACAAGAGCTTCAGAGTGAATACCATAGTTAGGTGATTTGAATCACAAAATTGTTATCATGCAAAAGGAAACTATTTGGTCCATTATGTCTCTCATTTTTTCTTCAAATAAGCATCATTACTTATCACCAATTTCCTGTTTTCTCCCTATACCCTTGCACATTATTTTTAGCAAATAAATTATTCAATACCCTCCTGAATGCCTCAATTGAACTTGCTTCCACCACACTTCCAGGCAACGCATTCCATAACTTAAACTACCTGCAAGGTGAAAAAATATTTTTTCTTGCATTTGCTTCTTTTGCAAATCACTTTAAATCTGTGCCCTCTGGTTCTTGTTCCTTTTATGAGTCAGAACAATTTCTCTCTGTCTACTTATATCCGGCCACTCTGCATCAGATCTCCGCTTAGCCTTCTTGTCTCCAAAGAGAACAGTCCAAATTCTTCAATACATTCACACAGCTGAAAATTCTCATCACTGGGACCATTCTTGTAAATCACTCTGCACTCTCTCGGTGCATTCACATACTTTCTCTAAAGTGACAATCAGAACTCTACACTACATTCCAGCTGCAATTGCTTAATTAAACTAAATTAATTAAATTAATTGGGTGCTTTCATTGCCACATATATGCAGTGCACTGACTAATCAATTGTGAGAAGGAACTTCTCGTACTTATTATTATTTAGTACCAACAAAGTATGTTGAAACTAGAAGGAACTTCATCTTTAGTTGTCAGCTTGTTTACTTTTAAATGTGTGTCTTTAACTAAATGGTTCAGAGATTTGGTACATACCTCATACTTCTGCTTCTTCAGTTTTTCACTCATATCAAATTTTTCAGATTCTAGATGGCACAGCCAGTCATGTAGTTCCTTGGCCTTTTCCCTGGTAATTTAATAATTGGAGTATCAATCAAAATATCACAGAGAGATCAGTTCTGCCTCCAGGAGTGGTTGGTAATAGCAAAGATAGAGCAAGGGAAATCAGATGGGTCCCCACCACTTACTCCATTTACAAATGAAGGAGGAGCAGCAGCCTGGACCAGGCAGTCTAGTTCCCTGCAGTAGGGAAACAACAAAAATCAAGTTTGATGGTTTTTGGACTATCAGTAGGCATCACTGTCCAATTATCCTATATTTTCATTTGCTACACCACATAATCCTGGGTGGTTTCACTGAGAAATACCTGTTCAAATGTTTCAAACAGTGCTCTATATGAGAAGGCAAACATTAATTCTGTTGTCAGGACAAAAAGAGTCAAAATTATATGCCCAGTAAGAACATTTGAAATGTAACAAAGAATAGTATGGTCATCAAATGTGCTTCTTGCAGTCCATGTAAAACTACCACAGACATGAATGCCTTTGCACCACCAAGTTCCTGACACCTCATCCCCATTTCCCCCCATCACGCCAAGATCTCTATGCACACTTGCCAATTTCACTATGAGCGTGGCAGATAACTCAGGTTAAGTAGATAACTCTTTCAGAGGCCTACCTTATCCATAATGAACCAAAAGGTGTCTTTCTCTGCTCTACAATTCTACAATAATTATCACTGTCTGTGTCTTGATTTGAAGATCATGTCTCCTCTCAAGATCTTGAGTTTCGGCTGTGGATTTTCATGCGACTGAAAGAGTGAATCCATTGTAGTAGGCCAATACTAGGCCAATCATCATGTCGTAAGGTGTGGACTTCAGGTTTTGTCTCTGTTTCTACCCTTCTCTGCTACTGGTCTACATCATCATTAAGGTGTTTGAACTTAAAGCATGATGCAGCTTGATAGACATGTTGTAGATATCTTGAATGATTGGCAGCAAGTTCTTCCAAGTCATTTTTGTCAATTCTACTGCGCTTCAAGGAAAGCTTCAAAGTGTCTTTCTAGTGCCTCCACCTCTCCCTGCATACTCCCCAGAGCACTGGTAATCTTAGAAAAAACAGGACCCTCTGAAGGAGATGCCTTTCAGCCAGTTGGACAGACTGTCCGGGCCACTGCAGACAGTTTTGCAGGAGTTTTGTCTGCATGCGTAGATCTGGTTCCAAGAAGAACATTAGCATCTATTTGACAATCTTCCCACTGAATCCATAAGTTTTGCTCGTGGAATTTCTGTAGCACTATTATGTGCCACGGATACATGGTTCAGATCTTGCGATATATTGATACAAATTGAATGTTCATCAACAATCACCTTTAAGGATTGGGTGATGCAGATATCTCTCATTAATAACATTTGAACCACAGAAGTGCTGGGCAATGACATTGCCAACAAGAGAGAATCTAACCATTATCCCTTCACAATTCAAGTTATCATCACTGAATCCTTCACTATCAATATCCTGGGGGGTTACCACTGACTGGAAACTGAAATAGACTTGTTGTATAAATAGAATGGCTACAAGAACAGGTCAGGAGCTAGGAATCTTGCAGGGAGTAACTCACCTTCTGACTTCCCAAAACCTGTCCACCATCTGCAAAGCACTAGTCAGGAGTGTGGTGAAATACTTCCCCTTGACTGGATAAGTGCAGTTCCAAACAACACTCAAGAAGATCGACACCATCCATGACAAAGCTGCCAGCTTGGCTGGCACCACATCCTTCGAACATTCCCTCCCTCCACCACCATGATCAGTAGCAGCGGTCTGTACCATCCACAAGGTGCACTGCAGAAATCCATCAAACCTCCTGCAACAAACACTTCCTTCTAAACCCATGACCACTCCCATCTAGAAGGACAAGTGTAGCTGATACATGGGAACATCATCACATTCAAGTTCCCCTCCAAGACACTCACCATCCTGACTTGGAAATATATCACCGTTCCTTCATTGTTGCTAGGTCAAAATCCTGGAATTCCCTCTGTAATGGCATTGTGGGTCTACCTACAGCAGTTCAAGATGGCAGCTCACCACCACCTTGTCAAGGGAAAATAGCAATGGGCACTAAATGCTGGCCCCAGCCAGTGAAACTGACATACTATGAATGAATAAAAAACATTCAGGTCTTTGATTTAAACAATGATGTAATCTGGGAAGTGCTAGTGCTTTGGTCTAGGATTCAACCACATGGTTTTGTAATTATCCTTCCCGTAGAAAAGGATGTTTCTTATATGGAGGCCACACTGAGCACATTTTGTCAGTGCAAGGAAGAGACCATTTACATCGGCTGTTTCTATGCTGTTTGATGTGATCGTTTCTCTTTTTATTTTATCAAGGGTGGAATAGAACTTTTCCTTAACATCCTCACCTGAAGCATAATGGCTGACGATAGTGTCATATTGATTACAGCTGAGTTGCAGGTGAAGAGCCATGAACCTTTCATTTACACAACTGTGGAGTTCTAGCAGTGTGTCCAAGATCCTATTTGGATGGCAGAACCCACTCAATGAACACGAGGGTCACTGCCAGTCTTTCCTTTCCAGTAAAAGATGCATTCCCTTACATGTTCCTTAACCGGTCCTCTCCAAGAAGGCAGGTCTCAATTAGGAGTCTTGACAGCTCATGGGATACAACTGTAGTTCTTCCTATACAGCCACAAGATTAACCAGGAGTGCAAAATTCCAAGTTGCAAAATTAGCATTTTACTTATTTGACCATGAAGATAGTGATCTCATTGGTTATAATTCCCATTTTGAGGAAATATTGGAGACCCAATTTTTCTGACCCTTTTCCTAGTCCCTTTCCATTTTGGATGGGCAAAGGGTGTTCTGAAGAGGACAACTCAGTCACAGACACTGCTGCGAAAGGCACCTCTGCCCCAACAGACGTGCACAATGACCTTCATATGTCTGCTGCCCCCATGCAGATTCTTGATTAGTAACTCCCAGGTTCAGAGCGACCTGTCCTCCATTCTCCTGTTTCACAGGACTTGGCAAACAGACCCTGGTAAAATCAGGCACTTGACTTTGTTAAACATGGGGATGTTAGGAGCCAGCATATTCCACATGATCTTGACAAGTTAATGGTCAGGTCTCAGTGCAATGTTGAGCTAGGATGACCAGAACTCCCTTGCCAATGCAACATTCACTTATTATTTCCGTGATGCGATGCCAAATCTTCCTTTGCCTTTTCTATGTTGAGAACTTACAGCACCACACTGCAACTGGCGCCACTTCCAACTCTGCTGCCCTGAGTGGCCTTGCCAGGAGCAAGCAGCTCCTGCTGGTAATTGCTCAAGGATTCACTGGAGCACACAAACTTGTGTACCACATCAAAGTGGCGATCCATGAAGGACTATGATTGCATACAAAACTGAGGAAACCAACTAATATCACTTTAGCCCACAGTCTTGTTTCTTAATATGCATTGATCATATTTCTTTTTTTAAAGAATACCAACTGGTTCACAAGTAACTAATTATAGTACTGGTCTGGAAAATGGAAAGAACCAATCTGGACAAAAGCTGAGTTGAGTGAAGATATTCCTTCTTAACCCACCACATTTTCACATAATATAATTAATTTAATTCATAATATCATTGTAGCAAGTACAAAAGAAAGGGAAGCTTTCATTAAAAATTAAATAGAGGCAAATTTGCAAATACTGACCTAAGCTTGTCTTCATTAAGATGATCAATGTTGAGTGGCTTGCGCCTTTCTGCAAGGATTTTCCTCTTCTTTTCCCTTTCAGTCTGTTTCTTCCCTCTCTTCTGATCAGCCTAATTAACAATTTAATTAAAGTGTAAGATAGTTTTACTTAAATTTACTTAAATCAGGGATGCTTGAGAGAGTTTGCAGATCTATTAATTTTTCAACAGGTTTATTCCAGCAATTTTACACCAGCTACCATATGGAATTGATTGGGATTTCCTGGTGCATGGTTTTGAGCGCATGAGTTATTTGTTTTAATTGTCAGAAAATACTTTACCAGGCATGTGGAATTTACTAATGAGTGTACAGTATACAAAAGGAATGTTAGATTTTAGGTTAGACGTACGGGTCAAACTTCTTGGGCATTGTCAAAGGTGGGTCCCTGAAGAAATACCTCTCCCCCTTAGGCCATCCTAACTTAGAAATGAAGCTGGCATTTTACCCTGGCAAGGTAGCTGCTGTATTGAGCACCCATGCTGCTCAGAGCCTTCTTCTTCTTGGCATCATCATCAGCCCTCCTCCTGGCATCCTCCTCTTCCTTTCTTGCTTTCTCCTCCTGTTGAACACATTGGACATTATACATTTTGCTGAGAAAGAAGTAGAGCTTAGAACAGAACATGAGGTATTTCAAATCTTTGAATTTAAAGAGGTAGACAAAAACTCATTTTTATTAACATCAGTGATGTCCCAAAGTGATTTGCATACAATCAGTTACATCAGCATGCATTCTGACATGTACGAGACTGCAGATGCAAAATGTTCCTCTGAGGCAAATGTCAACTAACACCAAGATGTCCCTGAAACGATAACCCACCATGTGCATTCGGCAGAGCAGAGGTAAGAACTAAAAAGCAGGAAACGAATTTACTATTCATCATCTCTCTATTGATCATAAACACGGTCTCCAGTGTTTCTCCCATTTGACAGCCATGAGTTGACCTCATGTTTTCTTAAGAATGTAAGAGTTTGTCCTTTATTACATATATCATTAAGTTGATGTGAATCTAAACAGGTCAAAGCCAACAGTATAGATTGACTTACCATCTGCCTGGCCTGACGCTCCTTTTCCTTCTCAGCACGAGTTCTTTGCTGTTCAGCTCTTTCTGCTCTGCGTTTTTCCTGTTGGTTGGAGAAAAGTATAGAGAGGATTTGTTACAAAGTTCTGAGACAGCACCTTCTCAATTCCTATACTTTTGTAGGGGAGCTGAGCCTAGTGGTATCATCACTAGGCTATTAATCCAGAAACCTCGGTAATGTTCTGGAGATTGAGGTTCAAGTCCCAACGTGGCAGATAGTGGAATTTGAATTCACTAAAACAAAAATTCTAGAATTAAGAATTTAATGATGATCATGGTGATGTTGAAACTATATTTTCATTGTTGATTGTCAGAAAAAACCCATCTTGTTCACTAATGCTCTTTAGGGAAGGAAGCTTACTTGGTTTTGCCTACTCCAATCTCTCAGAAATGTGGTTGACTCTTAAGTGCCCTCTTGGCAATCAGGAATGACCAATAAATGCTGCCCTAGGCAATGACACCCACATCCTGTGAATGAATTGGAAAAAAAATTCAGAAAGTAACAGTGCACATTTCACCATGTCACTGTGGCCAGAGTGCATCTTTACTGTTGCATCATACATAGAAACATAGGAGGGTCGGCCATTCGACCTCTCAAGCATTCATTATGGTAAAGGCTGATCATCCAGCTCATTACCCTGATACTGCATTACCCCACATCCCTTGGTCTGGTAAGCCAGAAGAGCTATATCTACCTACTTCTTGAAAACACCATGTTGTGGCCTCAGCCACTTTCTGTGGCAGTGAATTCCTCAAGCTCACCACTCTCTGCATGAAGGAATTTCTTCCTATCTCAGTCGTAAAAGGTTTACACCTTACTTTTCAACTATGACCCCTGGGTTTGAATGCCCCCACTATTAGGAACACCCTTCCTGCATCTACATTATCTATTCCTGTTAGAATTCCGTATGTTTCTATGAGATACACCCTCATTCTTCTAATCTCCAGTGAACACTAACCTAACTGATTAAATCTCTCCCCATTTGCCAATACTGCCATCCCAGAAATCATTTTGTGTAAACCTTTGCTGCACTCTCTCTACAACAAGAACAATCTTCCTCAGTTAGGAAACCAAAATTGCACACAATATTCCAGGGGTGGCCTCACTGATGCCCTGTATAGTTGCAGCAAGACATCCTTGTTCCTGAACTTGAATCCTCTCGCTATTAAGGCTAACATACAGTTTGCCATCTTCACTACCTATTGTACCTGTATGCTTACTTTCAGTAACTGGTGCACAAAGACAGCCAAGTCTCTTTGAACATTCCCCTCTCTCAATTTACAGCCAATCAAATAAAACTCTGCCTCCATATTTTTGCTACCAAAGTGAATCACCTCACATTTATCCACGTTATGCAGCTTCTGCCATGCACTTGCCCATCAACTCAGCCTGTCCAAATCACACTACAAGATCTCTGCAACTTCCTCATAGCTCACTCTTCCAACTAGCTTTGAGTCATCTGCAAGTTTTGACATATTACATTTAGTTCCCTCACCTAAATCGTTAACATATATTGTGAATAGCTGGGGTCCCAGTACCGATTCGTCCAGCACCCTACTCGTCACTGCCTGCCATTCAGAAAAAGACCCATTCATTCCCACTTTTTGTTTCCTATCTGCTAAAATCAATTTTCTTTCTATCTCAACACACTCTGCCAATCCCACCTACTTTAATTTTACTTACGAATCTCTTATTTGGGACTGATTAATTCCAATAGTTATGTCCTTGAAGATTTCTAGTAGGTTTGTCAAGCATGATTTCCTTTTTGTAAAGCCATACTGACTGTGTCTGATTCTATCACTGTTTTCTGAGTGGTCTGCCATAAAATCCTTGACAATGGATTCTAGCATCATCCCCATTACTGATGTCAGGCTCACTGGTCCATAATTCCCTGTTTTCTCTGTACCTTCCTTTATTAAATAGTATTAGCTACTCTCCAGTCTCTAAGAACTATTCCAAATTCTAAAGAATCTTGTAAGATGATGACCAATGCATCCATTACTTCTAGGGCCACTTCCTTAAATACTCTGGGATGGAGATTATCAAACTCTGGGGATTTATCAGCCTTTAATCCCATCAGTTTCTCCAATTTCTGTATTAATATAGATTTGCTCTAGTTCCTCCCACTCACTAAACCCTGTATTCTCCATCATTTCTGGTATGTTATTTGTATCCTCCTTTGTGAAGACTGAAGTATGAATTCAGTTCATCAGCCCTTTCCTTATTCCTCATTTTAAATTCCCTCATTTCTGACTGGATGGGACCTACATTAGTTTTCACCAATATTTTTCTATTTACATACCTACAGAAACTTGAAAAGTTAGTTCTTATGCTCCCTGCAAGCTTACTCTCATAATCTATTTCCTCTTCTTAATCAATCTCTAGGTCCTTCTTTGCTGACGTCTAAACTGTTCTCAATCCTCAAGTCTATTATTTTTCTTGCCAATGTTTATGCTTCTTTTGTGTATCTCATGCTAACTTTAACCTCCCTCACAAACCATGGTTTGGCCACTGTTCTCATAGTACTCTTGCACCAGACAGGAATAAACATTTTTTCTAGTTCACCCATTTGCTCTTTGAATTTTGCCTTTGCCTGTAGACTGTTGTTCCTTCCAGCAACATTTCTCAACACATCATAGCTAGCAGCAGCACATTTCTATTGTGCACGTTGACAAAACTGCCATGGTGTGATATAATCATATAACAATATCACAGATACAGTCGCAATTTGACATGGTAATTAGAGCATGAGGTGACACCAAGCATCATTTGAGTCTTGCCAGTTACTGAAGGAGCCCATGTGCAAATGCAACAAGACCTAGACAATATTCAGAATTGGCTGAGTGGCAAATAACATTCACACCACACAATTGGCAGGCAACAATCATTTGCAATCAAGAAAAACATAACCATCTCCCTTAACATTTAATGGCATTTCATCACTGAACTGCTCATTATCAACATCTTGCACATTACCATTGATGGGAACTGAACTGAACCAGTATTATAGATACTGTGACTCCACAGATTAGAGACTGGGAATTCTGAAATGAGTAACTCACCTCCTGACTCCCAAAGCCTGAGCACCATTTACAAGGCACAACTTGGGAGTGTGATGGAATTCTGTCCATTTACCTGGATGTGTGCAACTCCAAAAGTCATTCAAGAAACTTGATACCATCCAGGTCAAAGTAGCCTGCTTGACTATCCACTAAGAGGATATTCACTCACTTTACCACTGACACACAGTAACAGCAGTGTGTAACATCACAAAATGCCCTTCAGCAACCTACCAAATCCTTCAACAGCATCTTCCAATCCCATGATTTCTACAATGTAGGAGGACAAGGACAGCCGAGTAATGGGAACATCACCATTTGAAAGCTCCACTCCGTATGAACTTGGAACTGAGTGTTCCTTCAATGTCACTCAGTCAAAATCTTGGAAATCTCTACCAAACAAAACTGTGGGTGTACCCACAACAAGTGGACTGCATCGGTTCAAAAAATTGCATCACCATGATCATTTCAAGGGAAATCAGAGATGGGCATTAAATGCTGGTCCAGCCAGTGAGATCCACATCCTATGAACAAATTTTTAAAAAAATCTAAACTGTATCCATAGTGCCTCCTTGATAGATATTCACTTTGTTGCTTTAATATCAATACAACACTCACAATCCTCTCTTTCAGAGCAATCAGTTCCTCTTCTTCCTTCTTCCTATTCTCAAAATGAAGATCAATCAGGGCCTGCAGCTCAATCAGATCTTTGTTCTGACGCTTCTTCTGGATGTCCTAAATACCACACAAACACAGAAAAATCAGAGCAGTAGAATAAAAATCAGATCCACAACTGAGTCATAAACCACAAGTGAACAAATTCAGAGGAGGGCACAATGGTAGTGTATCTATACTATGATTTTTACTCCTTCTGAATCTCTAGAAATGTACTAATTAATACAAGTGTAACAGATATCATCAAAATCATATTGAGTGCAAAGTATGGTTCAGGAACTGTTGTATTAGACAAACACATTAATCTATTACTATGCGGGCACCTTATACATCTGATATAATGAAAATCCACAAATAATTTGTTTTGGAGAAACAAAGCTATTTACTGCTAATTATGCTCACTTGATAACCTTATAACGTCTTTCAAGTATAGGAGGCATGAATTTACTGCTGACTTAAAGGAACTTCATTCAGTAATTTTCTCTATTTGAACTGAATAAATGGTTCATTATATCACTTCCCAACTGTAATGACTTTAAAGAAACAAAACCTCTTTGAGGTCATCTATTACTTGGATTTTCATGATGTATTGGAGACTGCAAATGTTTAAAAATTGCGGATGGGACCTGGATCGAGAAGTCCCACTCCTATTTCCAACTGATCCCATTTTTGCTGAGAGGGTAAAAGAGTGGGATGTCAACCATGGTTAAATCCAGACTCAGCATGACCAACTAAACATGGTACTCAGGTTGTGTTTCCTTCAAATTGACCCCATTTTCGCAAGAGTTTTAACCACTCTGTGGCAGTTACGAACTTTAAGAATCGTGAAAACTCTTGAAGGGAGGAGATGGTCTGTGGAACTGTCAAATGGTCTGGTTATTTGAATCCCCAGTCCATTATGAACTACATTAGCTGTTTGTTGTCATTTCTCCAAGGGCAATCATTATGTAATCCTTACTGTTTTGCAGTTTCTATAACTCAGTATTGGCTCATTAGAGTGTTGCAAGTTCACAGTTGATTGGCAACTCAAAAAGGTTATTAAAGACTGGTTATCTTTACTGCATCTTTATGAATGTTTATATTGGATTAAGTTCTTGAGGAACTTTTAGACTTTTGAATGGGCTTCCATGAATGGAAGTTTTTGTTAGTTATAGTAAAGGCAACAGTAGATATTTTGAACTCTATTTTACTTAATTTAGACATTATTTCTGAAGTAGATTACTACCTGAATGGCTATAAATTGGGAGAGGGGAGTGTGTAGCAGGACCTGTGCGACATTGTGCACCAGTCGCTGAAGGTAAGCATGAGGGTGCAGCAGGTGGTAAAGAAGGCAAATGGTATGTTAGCCTTCATTGTGAGAGGTTTCGAGTACAGGAGCAGGGATGTGTTGTGGCAGTTATACAGGATGTTGGTGAGGCCACACCTAGAATACAGTTTTGGTCTCATTTTCTGTGGAAGGATGCTCTTGCTCTCAAGGGAGTGCAGCGAAGGTTTACCAGACTGATTCCAGGGATGGTGGGACTGACGTACGAAGAGAAATTGACTGACTAGGTTGGGATTGTTTTTGCTAGAGTTCAGATGAATGAAGGGGAATCTCATAAAGACATGTATAATTCTAACAGGACTAGACAGGGTAGATGTAGGGAGGATATTCCCATTGATGGGTGTGTCCAAAACCAGGGTCACTGTCTGAGGATTCAGGATAGACGATTTAGGACGGAGATGAGGAGACATTTCTTCACCCAAAGAGTGGTGAGCCTGTGGAATTCATTACCACAGGAAGTAGTTGATGCCAAAACATTGAATGTATTGAAGAGATGGCTAGATATAGCAGTTGGGGCGAATGGGATCAAAGGGGAGAAAGCAGGTTTAGGCTATTGAGTTGAATGATAAGCCATGATTGTGATGAATGGCAGAGCAGGCTAGAAGGGCTGAAAGGCCTCCTCCTGCTCCTATCTTCTATGGGTGTATCTTTCTAGGAGGTGTGGCTATGTTGAATAATTTGTGTGCAGGCAGGGAAGGGGAAAGGCCAAAGGACAATGAGTGGGAGGGGCAGAGATGGAAGTAAGTTGACTTGGAGTGTATTAAAGACCATTGGGAATGGGTGGGGTGGTTTGATGGGTATGGGCTAGATGACCTTATTTTGTAAGAAAACAACTGGGGTGATGTCCCACAAAATCAAGGCAGGTCTTTAAAACTGTCCCCCTTAGCCTTTGGCAGCCCCATAGCTGGCTCCATTCTGCAGCTCCCAGCAGTAACATGGATCCCACATTTTGGAGAGAACAGGAAGGTTTCCTGACTTGAGCTAGCCAATCACGCATGAAAATGCAGGCCTATGCAATTGTACATCACAACCTGAGCTGAGTTGAACATTGCTGGCATTCAGTTAGCGTTAAATTTGAAATAGTTTGGTTCCATGGTTCTTATAATAAATGCATTACTTGATATACTGATGAGGTATATCAACTAATTTTGCTCCTTAGTTTGTGCTGTATTGACTAATCTTGCTTGTGCCAAAGGCTGGAACAGGTTGTCTACAATAATGATTGAGAGCACAACACTGGATTAATTCATCACAACTGCAGTGGAAAAGTGATAGGAGTAGGGATAAACCATTTGGCCCCTCAAGCTTGTTCCACATTAAATGAGATTTGTCCTAATCTGCAACCTAACTCCCATCTTCCATAATACCCTTAGATAACAATAACTATCAACGTCAGATTTAAAACTTCCAACTGATTTCCTAATTTCTACAATTCTTTAAGTACAGTTTCCAAATTTTACTCCTGAAAGGTCTGGTTCTCAGGTTTAGATTATGCTCCTTCGTCCTGGAACTCACAACCAACGAGAGTAGTTTTCCCATATTTAATCCATTAAATTTGTAAAAACTTTCATCCAATCACCCTTCATCCTTCTAAATGCCAGAGAATACAACACTAGTTTGTGAAATTTCTGAAATTTAATCCTTTTCATCCAGGCATTTTCTCATAAACTAATGCTGTACATTACGTGTGCACTGCCCCAAGACCATACATGTACTTCCTTAGTATGGTGTCCAGAACTGTTCACAGTTTTCTAGGTGTAATCTAACCATTGTCTAGCTGAAACATGACTTCTACTCCTTAATAGTCTGATCTCCTCAACATAACGATCAGTGTTCCATTAATATTTTTGATTATTTTTGGTCATTGTTCATGACACTTTAAGGATTCATGTAAGTAGCTCCCTAAGCATTTTTTTTTAACCCCTATTGTTTCTAGCTTTACACCATTTGAAAGAATCTGTTTTGGGTCTTGGAGGGTGACCCCATTGGAGCCTAAATTGAAATCCATTTTGTCACAGTTTTCCCCATTCATGTAATATCAATACCCCCACTTTGTAATTTTACACTTGCAACTATATTGCTTACATGCCACTTTCATGTAGATATTCTGAAAAGATAGAAATAATGGTTCAAAGAGATTTTTGAACTTGTATTGTGATCTCATTGCTCCTTTTCTAGACAGGGAGAAAAACAATTATGCAGGATTCCTCCCTTCAGTACCCCTTACTGAGATGTGCACTTCCAGATATTGGTCAATGATACAATCTAAATTGGCATTATCTTGACAGGATTACATAGTATACTGATGCTAATTTTCTGCTTTCATTCATAACCTTTGAACCCTTAATTAAGTTTCAGTGAATTGCTGGTGGTTGTAGACCTTGCACCATGTTGAATACATCTCTATGGGAGAGGAGTGGTGACTGCTTTGAGAATGTAGAAAAACTAGCTCTTCACTAATTCCTCTTCAGAATAGAAACAAGATTGATGACCTTACAATTACTGCTAACATTTGATAATGGATGTTAATGAATAAATAAAGTTTCAAGAAGCCATCAATGAGAAAGCAAGCATGTCAGTAATGAATCATTTGTTGGATAATTTCCTGTACTCACATCAAAGTCAACTTTCTCTCCTTCTGGGATTTTGGGACCAGTCAGCCTGTTAAAAAAAAAGTAAGTAATGATACCTAGAACTTAGACTACAAAAGTTTTGGAAATGTTTTGCAAATTATTTCTTCATTTTGGTGAAAGATGTGTGTACTCTGGGGAATGAGACATTTTCAATTTCAATTATCCTAACTTCTACTCCCATGGCTCTGTATTGATTACTCTTGCTCACCACCACAATATTTTTTTTTCACATTAAAGACTGCACCAACTTTCTAGACATGTGGGGAAATCTGGTGGTCAGAGTTTGTCCACCCATTACACTATCCTTTACAAAGCCCTGAGTTTTTCAAAGTCACAGAAGTGATAATGACACCCTCTATTTAAAAGTCATCATTGTGGCTCCTTGCAATGTTGCTATAATCCTGGTCAGCATCTTTCAGATCCACATGTTGTCATTGTAGCCCCCACAATAATGCAATGTCCCTTCAGTTGTCTGGGTTAGTTCAGCAGGTCATTTTATTCTCAACCCCCAACCAAGGTATACCAAGCAAGACAGGGGAAGGTAATGAAAAGAAAACATAAACAAAGAGAAGAAAAAGAGATAAGGAGAAGTCTAACACTTTTGCACTCCAACAATGGGGCGTGCTCAAAGGGAACAAATATCATAGAATTAAAGTTAGTTCCTTCGAGCAATGTTCAATGCAGAAAACATGGGGAATCACATGCATTTGTCTGGAACTTAGAAAGAGAGAGCCATTAAAGGTCAGATAGAGGTAAGAGTGAAGGGAACAGTGAAAGAGAGAGTGAGATGGATGGCAAAGAAATAAGGGCAGAAGCAAAATTTTAAACCAGCAGAAGTGGGACGGAGAAAACAAGAGAAAGAAAAGGAAGTACGGTCTGAAAGAAAGACATATTAAACAAGGAACTGAAGGAGAAGTAAGAGCAAGAAGAAGGCCTACTGCTCCATTAACTAAACCTTCAAATTGTAACAAATCACTACTCACTTCATCCTTGGCTTCTCCTCCTCTGTAGCAAAATTAAAAAAAGGAAAAAATAAATTAGATATATTATCCAAAATTAAAAACAAAGTACAGCATCAAAATATTGTATTTTAAAAAATCTACAGCCTTACAAATAAAATTATGTATTTCTTCTCAATTTTTCCTTTAATTTCCTGAAGGTGTTGACTCCTTGTTAGGACGGTCCTACAGATGATGGATATTGTTCAATATCCGCACCAAATGCCAACTATTCAAGTGTGATTATTTATCAGTGTATAAGAGCAGGTTACTCATTCACAGCAACAATCAGAGCTGAACCTGCTCCCATATGCACATATGATTCTCTCTCACAGACATTTTCTACCATCCATTCTGGAATAGCAGTCAGAAACTAGGAGCCTGATTAATAATTTCTTCCTGGCCGATTAAGTGTTACCAAACATCTGAAACACTACCGAAACACGAGTCAACAGCTTAAGAACAAAATAGGAGCTGGGGAGGAAAATAAAGAACAATAAAAACAAACTGAGAAGATTACATTAACAAAATAGAACAGTGCCTTATCATTTTCAATAAAGTCAAAATTAACAAAATTGTGAGTTAAAGAGTGGCTGTGCTCTGGTTTGTCTGGTAAAGCATAGGTAAGTCAATAGTTAACATACCAACAAAAATAAAACTGATTTTTAATAAAACACACAGGGAATGAGGCACTTCACAGATTTGATCAATTTTTCAAAACATGGTGTATTTTATTCCGTTTTCAGCAGCAGAATATTGTGATTCTAGGATTCTCAAATTGTTAAATGTTAAAAGAGGTCAATTTTTATAAATTAATATTTAAGGCAGACTTATCATCTGCTAATCTGGGGGAATGAATCTGTTATAACAACATAGAAAAGAACCTATGAACGTAGGCTCCACATTTCTACCATCCACCTATAAACACAGCTAACAGCGAAAATGCTCTCTCACTCATATCTTTAACCTCACTGTCTTGCCTGTAGTGATTGTAACAAGGTCAGCCAGTTGGACCTCATAGAAAATGAGTTCCTTGATTGGGGCTGCTAATCAGAGAGTCCTGGCTGATAGATAAGAACAGGAGTGTCTGACATCCTGTTCACTCTGAGATCTGGCTTTGAGGGAGCTGGATCAGTGTCGAGGACCATGCATGTGTAAATAAAGGGTGATTTGGTGACAGGATACTGACCTCTGTGCGGAGTTATTTCATTGCCTAGTAGAAGAACCTAAATATTCAACAATCATGAAGTTTTTAAAAATTAGCTTTTGATTTTATAGGTGTTTTCCCAATTAAACCACATATACTTTGAATAGCTTGAATTGAAGTTGTGTGTTGTATTTGTTTTGCCTCATTTGTTTACTATTTTGTGTACTGTGTTGAGGTCTTTGCCCAACATTAGTCTTAATTTCAACATCCGAGTAATGCCTGCAGCCTGATATAACTCCTTCCTAGTTTCCAAGCCTTAGGTACTGTGTATATGGAACAACAATCTATCAAATTGTTCTCACTGCCACGACTGTTATTCAGCCATAGGTTGAGGAAGTCATTACGGCAACAATGTTTGACATGAAATTAGTGCATTTGTCTTTTGCACCATCTATTCCAGTTTACAGGCCATTGGACCCCTGCCCTTTTCATGCTGGAGCGCTGAGCACTGATGTCCACCAGCAGCACTGGCATAACATAGCAAAAAAAAATTAACTTCCAGTCATTATCTATGCAAAGAAGAATGATGGGGTGGGGTCTAAAGGAAACACAATTATCTTACTACCACTACTTATCAATGGGACATGAGAACTGAACTGTCATTGAGATACAGTGGGCCATTAAAAATGAATAAATACCCTATCCTTGAAGCATGCTGCCTTCAGAAAAAGTGACAAACACTGCTTCCTGTTCGTTCACAAACACACTGGACAATCACACTGAAATGCAACATTGCGTCTTTTACATGTGAGATCACTGTAATGAAAACCACACACACAGTTGTTCTTCCCAACTGAAGCAAAATGTTTGCACAGAACTTTCAACACTTATCCCAACATCAGGTCACATTGCTATTAAAGCTAGTTAAAATGCTGATACCCTTTGACTGTACCAACTACCTATCTAGTAAGTGATGCATTTCCCTTCAGAAATGAAAAATAAAAGAGAAAAAGGGGACAAAATGCTATCCTGCATGAATTTTGTAAATAACTTTTCCATTTTAAAAGTATCCCCTTTGTCTTTTTCAAACAAAAGCATGGCAGTAGGTGCGTGCACATTAAATCCATTTTCCTGTTCCCCCTGCACTCCAACTTGTAGTCTTTTCCTCAATTTAGCCAGATCTTCCTACTGTGGAGAAGGTCTACAGCCTTCTACCAAAACTTCTGTCAATACTGCTAATTGTGCAGCAATGTCACCCAACTAACATTTAACATCTTTATTTGTCACATTCTGCTACCAACAATATCAGCAAAAACACACACTAAACCTCAAAGAAATTAGACTGTTTTTGAAATGAAGACAGACTTATGAAACTGACAGTGTAATAGACAACATTAATATTTTAGCAATCAACACAGTGAATAAAACCAAAAATAGCCAGGTTGTAAAGTTTTAATGAACACTGCAGTGAAATCTGTTAGTCAAAGTGCTTGTTGAATCCTGCAGCCATATAATGTTTTATATGGCTGCTGTTGGATCATCTCAAGCCACACATTTAGAAGAATTAACCCCAGAGAACTGGGGGAAGGGGAAGGCAGTTAGAGTTCAGTGGGGTGAATTTACATTGATGATAAAGCAAAAATACCGTCTTCTTCTTCGTTTCCATAAACTGTACATTGCAACAAAAAACACAACAGAGCAAAACAAACATTAAGTCAATGTATTCTGGACAGTTATTTCACTTAAGTGAAACTTGTAGACTGACTGTGGCCTTGCACTGAGCCATACTGCTCTAAAGATTCAAGGATCTAGACACATTGTTGAACGGAAGTCGGAGTCAATCACGGTCTGATTTCAGTTGGATGTGTACGTGATTGTACTCTGACTTATTTCTCACATTTAAATTAAACTAACTCTAAAGTTACTGAAGTTTCAGATGGGGCTCATTTTACAGGTTGCTCATTATCCTACCATTTTATTATCAACTAAACCCCTCTGTTTGACGTTATCCTGCTTCACTCTGGCATGTTATGGTAGTTCAGAATCACCTGTACATGAAACGAACTGCGTCAATATGAGCAGTGATTATGCTCAGTAAGAATCAGCAATGTGAACATAAACAGCTGCCTTCTAACTTCCAACATAGCTTCAAACCTCTGAACCTTCTGATATAAACGAGCACAAATCTGACCTCACATGTTCAAATATATTCATTACTTTTATAACTATATGTGAATAAAATGTTTCTGGATGTACATAAAATGATACATATAAGCAATATCTCCTTATTTAGTTATTTGCTAATGCTGTAACTTTCCATTCCTTGACTACAATTACGAAATTGGAATTACATGTTGGACAGAACTGTCTGTAGTTTATCCAAGAGCAAACTCTGCAGCTAAACAAATCTACTGATGTGCCACAATTATTAGATGATAAAGTATATAGACATCAACACACAAATATAGAACCTTCACAATTGAGATGCAACTTTGGGTTCTGAAGATTATCAAAAAACCCCCACAAATTATAGATTCAATGATGCATTTTTAAATTAAATCCCAAATTGGTGGTTTAAAATTTAGACAACACCAAAATAAAACAAACGCCATTTCTTCCACATGATACTTTTTCAGAGCAGGATGATCAAGTTGTTTAATAAGGCTTTAAAATGCAAATCGAATATTAATACGATCATAAGAATCCAATATGGTGCTCGCCTGAGTCATGCATGCACCTTGATAACCTGGCAGCCTCTGCAAAGGCTCAGGTTACATAGTAGCAGGCAAGAATCAAGCGGAAAATGGATGTTAAGTTTTTGCACAGCTATGTTAACTAGGCTAGGCAAGTGGATCACAATTGCCTCCATTGTCACATGATCTGACAGTATCAAAATGGAACTGAACTGATGCACTCTCTGAAAATGAGACTTAGAATAACTTAGAATCTGATGCATGATTGGAAAAAAACAGCAGAGAATAACATACCTTCATCATGGTGTACTTCTGTGAGAGATCAGGTACATGCAGTGAGCAGCAAATACAAAGAAGCAAAAATATGTTAATATTGAGTGTTAAAGAGCAAAAAAAAAGTCAATGTGGCTGATGCAGGACTACCCCAAGTTGAATCAGCAAACTGTTAAATTAAACATAAGAGGGCCCCCTTTCCAGTTTTGCCAGATTACTCATTTTGCAATTATATCTATCCCCAGAATAATTAATAGCACCACAGTTAAATTTTGAAATTGCTTCTCGTGCTCGTGTTAACAAAAGCTGTTCAAATTACATTGAATAAAACTCCTTTCTATAGGAAATAATGAAATACACTCCAATATGTCACTTAACAAATAATGAAGATAATGGGTGATGTGCAGTCATTCAGGATATAGATGAATATGCAATAATGATGAAGCATCCAGAATGAATGAAGATGTTCAAGGATGAAAACTGATGGAAAATGCAAAGGATATGGTCTAATGAGAGATAATAATTCAGTGGAATGATTGTGCATGATGGCATGGGAGAATTTTTAAAAAATGAATATGATGAGAAATGGAAATAAACAAAAAAGAGGAAAATAATGATTAGAAGGAAGGAAATGCTAACAAAAGAAAAATAGAATGGAAGTAAAGCAGGAGAAGGTTGTCTTCCAGATATAACAATTCATGTCATATCAATTGCTATTTTATAACTGAGGTTCACAGATTTTTGTTAGTCAAATGTATTAAATGGCATGGGCAAAGATGGATGTGCGGAGTTAACAGCCACAAACTTATGGAATAACAGAACAGGATTGAGGATTAAATGAACAACTCCTGTTTGTATTTTCCCATACAATGCCAGAATGCTGGTTGCAATTTC